TATCTCTTCCAACTTTATTGTTAAAAATATCTTGTTATCTTATTAACTTTATAACCCCATGCAATCAATCTTCATCTACAAGTAAAAAAGTGGGTCCATAATGTTCTTGAGAGGACTGATAATCGAGTTATCGACCTTCGAGTTAGTAATTAGTGTTTTATCTATTGAGCTATGCTTAAATTGACTTAAACTTTGTTGAGGAATGTCGAGAGAAGAGCTTATGTTCAAAGTAGACAATATTATACTATTGTGGAGGGTCGTTGTTCCTAACATGGTATCAGAGTCATGTCAATAGAATCCTTTAGTGTCAGAACAAAAAAGTTGTGAGCCTTAAAGACGCAGAAGTAAGTCGAGTATCGAACAAACAGTGTACCGAGGGCTCCAGAAAATAAGTCGAGCCTCGATTAAGAGGAAGTTGCTTGAGGGCTTGTTCAAGAAGAGAATTATTGAGCTCAAACTGGACAATATCATATCATTATAGAGGGTCGTAGTTCCTAACAAACTTCACCCACTTCGGTGATCCGTTCCGTTACGCAAATGACTTATCATTCCATAAATCACACTCACCACCGCCACTTGAGTTGCATAAACTCATTAAATCCCATAATGGGTCACCAATTTTTGGTTTACCCATCAAAATCAATAGAAATCAAATAAATTAAAAGTTTATTAAAAAAAATTTGATTTAATCTCTAAAACTTAAAAAAAAAAAAAATTAACAAATCAACAAAATAGGTTCGAGTATCTGCGTTAATACGAACATGATTTCAAAGTCAAATAAGTTAGAGATACGAACACGACACGAAAATAGGATTTAGACCTAAAAAATGATAATAATAAAACGCACCGCAACCGTAGAAATCGGGGCCAAAGGATGAGCAGCCTTAGCTAATTAAGCCAAAAAAATGAGGGAAAGAAACAGGCAAATTAACATGCATGCATGTCAATAATCAAAGCTAAACAGCGAGGGGGTCTTGTCCGTCGCCCCTTGCGGGAGGCATCGGCCGGCAGTGGGCTCGGCAGTGGGCCTCGTGGGTCACCACCTCACGTGCTTTCATTTGCCTCTTCTCTAAGCACTTTGATCATCACTTTGCATCTTCCTCTAACCTTCTTTTTTTTTTTTTTTTTCTTTTTTGTAAAGTTAATTTAAAAAGAAAGTACGAGCCGATCGAAGAGGAAAGACGAGCGATAAAGTTTAGTGTGTATGCATCTTCCTACGAGTTTCGAGTTTATGTATAATTGATATAAGGAGTGTAAAAATTAGCTACGATTGAAGCGTTGGCGTCGAGCTTTCTCGATGTGAGATCCCACATCGATTGGAGAGGGGAACGTGAGATTGACAATATCTACTAGTGGTGGGATTGAGCTGTTACAAATGGTATCAAAGTCAGACACCATGTGGTGTGCCAGCGAGGACACTACCCTCCAAGGGATGGATTGAGATCCCACATGGGTTGGAGAAGGGAACGAATTATTTATTATAAGGGTATGAAAACCTCCCCTTAGTAGACGCATTTTAAAACTATGAGGCTGACATCGATATGTAACGGATTAAAGCGGACAATATTTGCTAACAGTGGGCTTCGGTTGTTACACTCGGCTAGCTTCTTTTTATTCATTTTGTAGGAGCCACATGTCGCAGTTATACTTGTCCAAGACGTATTAACTGTGGCCACATGCCCGTTCCATACCCTACTTGTTTCCGCGTTAGCCCGTTCTTTATTATTTCATTCGTCAAAATCATATTTATACCCATTAAGGCTAAAATACCCCAAATATATATTATAGAGGATGCTACTAGTTGTCAATTCTTCCTATCTCGGGTTATACACGGTTGATATCATTGTTGCTTGCTACTTGCTAACCTATAACATTACTTTCTTAAATTGATTTCCAAACGTTTTTCTAAGACTTTATCTAACCATAACATTTTCTTAAGAACGGGGTTGAAGGCTTGAGCATACGCCGCTCGTGCCATCAGTGACCCAATTTTTAGTTAGCTGATTTACTCGAGGACAAGAGTACGTACCATACAATCGCGTTACGAGTCTCAACAGAGTGCAATTGTGACACTACGCTCCATAAATCTTCATCTCAGCAAAAAAGTAGACCGTGATAGACACAAACCTAAAAGCTAACGTATACGAAACTCGACCCAAAAAAATCCAAATAAAACCTACGATACATACAAAAAGTTAGAACGTAAAATTTTGGTACCGGTGGGTCGGAGAAGAAAGGCAAAGTCTTGGGAGATAAGAAAAATGGTGGGGTTAAGGAAAAAGGTTTGGAGATAAACAGATAAGGTTGGAGTTTTATGTGTACTTTGTTAATGGCAGGCAAGGTTTATCTGAAAACGAAGTTTAGGTTGAATCTTTAGAGAGAGAAAGAGAAGGAAATTCCACGTGATGTTGCACAAAAGGTTATACCCTACACCTAACACTCACCTCCAAAACCAAAAAACTAAGGAAAATCATAACCAAGAGAGAGAGATATATATAGAGAGAGAGATATAGAGAGATATATAGAGAGAGATATATAGAGAGAGAGATATAGAGAGATATATAGAGAGAGAGATATATAGAGAGAGAGAGAGATATAGAGATATATAGAGAGAGATAGAGATATATATAGAGAGAGAGATTGAGATATATATATAGAGAGAGAGAGATTGAGATATATATAGAGAGAGAGATAAGAGAGATATATATATAGAGAGAGATAAGAGAGATATATATAGAGAGAGAGGTAAGAGAGATATATATATAGAGAGAGATAAGAGAGATATATATATAGAGAGAGATAAGAGAGATATATATAGAGAGAGAGAGAAAGAGATATATATAGAGAGAGAGAAAGAGATATAGAGGGAGAGAGAGAGAGGGAGAGAGAGAGAGGGAGAGAGAGAGAGAGAGAGAGAGAGGGAGGAATTATGTATAAATATGGGAGGCAATTGGGTTGTTGGGAAGATAGAAGGGAAAAGGGAGTGATAAATTATGATGGGAAAGAGATTTGCAAAGTGGAAAGAAACGGCAAGACAGCAGAAAGGGAAGCTGTACATCATCAGGGTTTGCATCTCCATGCTTCTATGTCGGCATCGCCATAACTACTCTCATCCTCATACCCCAACCCCAACCCCAACCAATTCTACTTCTTTCTTTCTCTCTTCTTCTTTTACATAGCAACACAATGTAATTCTCCACACACCTCATTCCAATGCAATCCTTTTAGATATATATATATATGTGTGTGTGTTCTCCTTCCAACCATCTCAATCATTTTGTATCTACTCTTGCTTTATCTAACCTTTACATTCCTCTCATACCCCAATTATGTGAGTTAGTTGTGCAGCTACCTAGGTTTTGAGAGGAGGGTAGATAAATTTTGTATAAGAAGCTAAGCCCATCGCTAGGGGATGTTGTTCTATTTCAGCTTCCTCTTTTTTTTCGGGCTTTAAAACCCCTATGTTCGAGAGAGGTTTCCACACCTTTTTCGGGCTTTAAAACTCCTATGTTAGAAAGAGGTTTCCACACCCTTTCTAGGCTTTAAAATGTTAGGGAGAGATTTCCGCACCTTTTTTGGACTTTTTTTTCCTCAAAGTTTTAAAACCCCTCTATTATAGAGAGATTTCCACACCCTTTTCGGACTTTTTGATGATTTTAGTAGTTCCATTTTGAATTTGTACCCTATAGTCTTGAGGGACAGCCACATTAGGACAACTACCTTCTATAATTTTTGGTGTTGAGCAGCATAAGAGATTATATATATATGTGCGCATGATGATTAGGCAGGTAGGGAGACAAGTTTCATGTGGGTATGTCAAAACTTGGCTGAATCAGACAAATGGTAATGAAATTGTAAAGCCAATTCATATATGATTGCTTGAGGATAGAAATAGGTGTAATAAATCACCGACATGTCTAAATAATGTTCATCAATCAAGTACACTACGTAATGTAATTGTCAACGAGTTCAAATTTTATTAGTTACCACAACAGTTGTATGCAATTTTAAAATGAGACCATAGTTGCAATTTAATCCGATAGTTTTAAAAGTTTAAAAACTCTAAAAATACTAATAAAATAACATTTTATAACTAAGTAATAAACACTTTCTCATAAGCATATAGATCAAAATCAACTATTCTAAATTTCAAATATTTAAATTTTGATGATAAATTTCAAATATTTAGATTTTGATGATGATTTCAACGGTAGCCATATTAAAAAAATTGGAGTAAAAATTAGAGATCTAAAAATTAGAGATGTCCACTCTACAATAGAAATGGAGGGGTGAATGAAAACATTTTTTCTTCAATAAATAAATGGGAATGGGAACGGGATTATAATCCCTATCCCACTTAATATAAATATAGTTTCAACACATGCCTGTATATATGTTTTTTTTTTGGCTATTTTTTGAAATAATGGCTAATTTTGAGACTCTAAAATAATATTTAAATAAAAAATTATGTTATAAATTCTTTAAAACGGTTAAAAACTATGTTGCAGTAGTATAATTTAAATTTTAAAAAATTAGGTTGGAAGAACATTATATATATGTTTTGCTAAAATATATTGATTTATTAAGATTTTTTTAGCCATTTTTTTAATAAATATTAATATTGAAAAATGAAAACTTAAAAAAAAAATCAAAAGAATAATAAACGAACAAAAATTACCTACAAAAGATCCAATCCCCACAAATTATCCATCCACGGGAATCCAACCAAAATAAATTAATATTTTCGTAGGAATAGGAAATAAAAAAGGTAGCAGAGATAAAGGACAGGGGGCTTCCCAATTCTGTCACGTGGACATCTCTATTAGAAATGAAAATTAAATATATTTTTTTTCCCGCATCAGAGGTGGTGATGTTCATAATCTAAAAGCCTTAAATAACAAAATAAAATGCACAACAACACATATACTCGATTTTGTACCGAAAAAGAAAAAAAAAACTTTTTTTTTTTTGTTTTTAAGTTGAAATAAGGGCGCAATATAGCGGGGTCAAAATTTGGGGATCCCAAGATATAACAGTGTCAGTTTTTAATAAATGGTCTAAAATTTTGAAATTATACATACAATGAAGGCCTTAAGTTTTAGCATTTAGTTTACCTGCACATTTATTGGCATGGAAGAAAGTGTTGTGGCCTGAAATTTGGAACTTGGCTCTCAACTTTTTGACTGTTCCAACACTTTCAAGACTTGGTTCCTGGAGATTTTGCAGGATTTGATTCCTCCTCGGTAGACTTCTTCGATGTTTGGACCTGTTTAGTTTGAGCTCCCTGGGAAATTACAAAGCAAACATAAATTATTAGCATTGAATAATTCATTTAGAGCTTGCTGTTCTGCGGTCAAATTTTCTCATAATGTATCATGTAAGAAACTTATCAGGGAATTTTGAGCTCCAAGATTGAGTTAGATTTTCTGTTTCTTTTTATGGGGGCGTATTCTAGGATTGCTACTGATCGAATCGATCAGCCTCGAGTAATTTCCTTGACTAAAAGAACAAGCAAATATTGTTCTCTTTAGACTTTTCCTTTCGGGTTTCTCCTCAAAGTTTTTAAAACGCGTAATGCTAGAGAGAAGTTTTCATGCCCTTATAAATAATGTTTCATCTCCTCCTCAACCAACCGATGTGGGCTCTCACAATTCACCCCCCTTGAGACCCAGCGTCCTCGCTGGCACTCATTCCCTCCTCCGATCAATGTGGGACCCCCCAATCCACCCCCCTCCAGGACCAGCGTCCTTGCTGGCACACCGCCTCGTGTCCACCCCTCTTCAGGGCTCAGCCTCCTCGCTGACACATCGCTCGTGTAGTTGTCTGATACCATTTGTAACAACTCAAGTCCACCGCTAGCAGATATTGTCTTCTTTGAGCTTTCCTTTTTAGGTTTTCCCTCAAGGTTTTTAAAACATATATGCTAGGGAAAGATTTTCGCACCCTTATAAAGAATGTTTTATTCTCCTCCCCAACTGAGGTGGGATCTCACATTACTTTCATCTATGTAGAGAACAATTGAAAAGAACGTGATATTTGTGGATTGTTTTAATGAAACAAACACTGCTACCTTCTGAGCGGTTAATCTCCTAATTGATGGAGCTCTTGCCATAGAGGAAGCAGCCGCAGCTGCAGCAACACGAATTCTGCAAAAAGTATTATTGAAACAAATAAAAACAACTTTAACATGTGGCGTTGAAAAGTTCAAAAGAACGAATTATAAGCATCAACTGCACAATACCTTTTGTGAACATCAACATACTCATCTGTTTCGTCAACAATCTCCTCCTGCATCAATCGAGATGTGTTACAGCATAGGTTAAAATTATAGGTAACGTTATGACCCAAAGAGAAGGGGAGAAGATTTACCTGCAAAAGTTCTTCAAATACATCTTCAAGGGTGATGATACCAATTACTTCACCATCTTCTATGTCCTCTGATAAATGGCTCAACCCATTTATAGAAGAAGCATCATTGCGTCGGTAAGAAGGTTGCCTACTCATACCAGAAGTCTTGGAAGTTCTATCGATATCGAGGACAACACTATCTGAATTCTCATCGTGCTTACGTAGTAAAGGAGTTGTCAGTTGGGAATCCATGCCTGAGAGTTTATTTTCCTCAGATTCTTCTCCAACCAATGTAGGAGGAAGAGCCTTGTTTTTCCCTTTTACCTTCACAACAGCAGCCATGTGACTACTCCCTTTCTGAAATTCGTTCAATATATCATAAAGAGGCATGTCGGAAGGAACCCTGCCATTCATAAGAATATAAATAAGTAATAAGTAGCAGTTAAAAAAATGCTTCTGGAAAATTGGGGCAGGGGGAAGCGCAGGAAAGCGGCAGAATAGCACACACCTGGGAATCCTCCGAATAGAAACGGCACTGACTGGGGTCTCTGTTTCAGGTCGCACTGTTAAAAGGCTTTTCACCTGATTCCACGCAGGTAAAGTCAGAGTAAAAAATGAAGAAATCTAGGCAGTAAAAAAAATCAAGGGATATCTAAACTGAGGAAATTTTTTAATGGAAGATTATTGCAATACCCACCAGGAGAAGCCCTATAATATTCTTTGGATTCCCAGCGTAGACAGGAACTCGACTATGACCACGAGCAAGAATTTTTCCCATTGCTTCCCTGTGTTAGTTGTTCAAGAAAGGATGAGACATTGCACACAAGTAAAAACTTGGCAAATTACTTCCTAAAGTATCTTTAAAGGTGCAGAAACTCATTCCAAGAACACGTTTATCATAAAAGGTAGAAATAAGAATTCACATCACATACAGATGATAACGTACATGCTCCTTTGAAATTACTGGAAAATCAGCAAGAAACAAGAACTAAGAAACATCTTTAACCAAGCAAACCATCCATAGTACCACAAATATTTATTCTGACAGGGTCATTAAACTCAAATACTACCAACTATCCTCGTATACTTTGAATGACCATGGTAACAGCTAATTTCGAAAGGTAGATAAGGTGTCAGAAACATGAGAGCAGCCTTACCAGTCCAATTTTGAATTTACGTCCAAGGAAAAAGTTGATTCAATAGGTGTCATAGCCTCCTCAGCTGTCTGTTCAAATTCGATAAGAAACAATACGATATTTAAAATACATAATAGTTTGAAACTAGAAGGCAGGACCTAAAGAAACGATCCAACAGAAGCAAAAGTTAGATAGCTAGTCGACGACATTGCAGCAATTACCTTTTCAGTCAAATCTAGAGCTCCACTAATGATTGTTGTTTCATCATGGGTGAGTTCACCACCCTTTCCCGCCTATACACAAGTAGTGAGATTTAAAAGGAGAAAAACTTTATCGGAATTTAAAGAGTTCTGAAGCAAATTTATTTACATACCTCCAGACTATGGATGGAGACAAGAGCTTTCAATTGAGCACGCCTAAACAATGCCTCATTGTGCCCCAGCAAGCAATCAAGAACCTGTAGTGTAGGAGAATTTTCATTGACTTTACGAGTCAACATAAATGAAAGAGAGGACCAAAGGTACGGCAGCCAACATTTGTGAAACAGCAACTCAAAAAATAAAACACTTTTCTCTGACAACCTTAGTTCATTTCAATAATTCTAATGCCTCCATATGCCCCCAATGACACACTACAGAAGAAAAACGAGGAAGGAAAACAAATTTGAAATGGTGCTATAAAACACATAAATAATTTGAAATCAATACATACAGCAATAAGAAGCCTGCATACTTAGTTTAGCATGTATGTAACTTTTAAAAGAATTAGCTAAAACCAAGGCATACCCACCAGAAGCCGTTGGCTTGCAATACTTTATGATAAGTCTACAAGAATTGTCCAGGATCCCAATTTCAGTGACTACAGCTCAACTTTTCAATATCCTTAAGGACCGGCATCGATATCGTACAAAACAAGAAAAGATGAAAAAGCTACCAGTCATGGCTTTTCAGTCACGCTCTTAAAGATGCTATGGACTACTTGAGCATGCACCTAACTTTTTTATGAGAATTATCCAATTTTTCGATGGCAATTTTTCATTTTTTGAAAGAATCCTTGTAATGATAAAGACTACACAGTCATTCTGTTGTAATTAACTCAATTTACGTAGCTCACATGCTTACAGCATGGTCAAACTAACAACATGTTTAGAAAATTACCTTCCCGATGGGATATGCAATTGGGTAGCAAATAACCATCAAAACTCGTACAAGACACACGAAATTGGCACCGACAGCAAGTCCATACCGGGTGCATATCGCTTGTGGTATAACCTAGCAATAACAGAAAACATTCCAAACAAAACAGCATAAATTATCCATATACAGGAATCGAGTTTAAGGGAAAACCAGGACAAATTATAAAAGGAGAAAGAATCATACCTCTCCAAATGCCAATACAAATGTCACAGAGAGAATAATAGCAAGATACTGATTAAAAAGTTTATCCAAGTATATAGGAAGTGCCTGCAGATAGCAAATGTGAAAACAGTAAAAAAGCTATACCAACAACGAATACATTGAGGAGAAGCATTTGACTGACAAATCTCATATATATAAATCCCAAAATTTCGATTACGTGTTTCTCCACCTAAAGTTCAACCTCATTTCAAAAGAAATGGAGAACGTTCCTGTTTTGTATTCACTATCAAAAAGAGTTCCGGATCCAATCAATTCAATTACCTCCATTGCAACGGCATTACATAATAGCAACGTAACAAGAAGCTGGTGCTGCTTTTGAACCACTGGTAGTATAGCCGCTGAAAGTAAACAATCGCAATTCGTAACAAGTTAGAATAACACACAATTGTAATTGTAAGCAACAAAACGATGCAAGCTACAAGAACACGCATGAATCCACTCCACACAAACACACACACACACGCATATGTCCTAAATTTTTTTTCACTAAGAATCGAACAGAATCGCAGTGGAATAGGCAGTCGAAGAATCAGAACCACAAATAGAAAACAAACCAGCTTGTTTCTTCTCCTCGGTGGTGCCACTGCGTTGAAGAATTTCGAGGTCGACGAGGCCGAGAGACATAAGGCCAAGGGTCAAACCAGACATGATACCAGCGAATAGAACAAGGACACAAGAGATCCCGGCGTAGATGATCCACAACAACGATCCGAATGGAATTTCGCCGGCTTCCGATTCAAGAGCCGGATTCCGAGTGAGCATTCGAGTCAACATCACCGCATTTAAGAAATGCATCGTCAATCCTATCCTGATTCTCCTTCGTCCTCCTTTCTTCTCTCTGTACCAGCACCGTAATATCTCTCCCTCTCTCTCTCTCTCTCTCTCTTCTCTGCGCTGCCCGGCGGACCAGTTCCGGGATGGTTGATTTTCTGGTAGCGGCTGTACTTTGCTTATTTCGTTTGGTCTCGATTGATGGAATAGATGTCAGTCTTTTTTTCCTTTTCCTCCCAAATACGTATCCAATTTTTTTTTATTGTTTTAAAAAAAATATATATATATATATTATCGATTATTATTTTTTAATTAATATTTTTTTTGGAAAAAAATTAAGCTCCCATAAAAATAAATAGAAAATTTAGCCATAATAGAAATGGAAATAAGAGTATGAAATAGGGACGAGGAAGGCTTCTTTGTTCTCTGTCTCCCCACCTAAACATATCTATTTTACACGTAATTATTGAATTTAAGCTATTTTTATAGCTTATTGACAGAGTTATGATTTTGTTGACTTCGGACCTTACTTATTGAAATTTTTAATCTAGCATTTATTATTTAAAAGGTTGAAAATTTTAAATTATTTTAGGTTGAAAATGTTATAATTAGTTTACGCTAATTCTCTAATAATTTCATAATTTTTGTGTCATTTAATTCAAATCAATTAATTTTAAGATTATTAAAAAAATAAGAAAATAAATTGAAAAGTTTGAATAAATTAGATACTAAATTGACTTTCTTTTTGGTAGGAAAAGAAAAAAAAAAAAAAAAGAACTTGCCCTTTTCTAGAAAATACTGGCATATATTTAACTATACTTTTAAAAAGTGGACGTAAAATACATCTTTTAGAACAAGACGTTCGCCCTAAAAGAAATGGCTCTCTTAGTTACCCTGCGCCTTATAAGAGTCTAACCTCATTGCCGTCAACTTCACAGTTCTAAAACGCGTCTATTAGAGAGAAGTTTTCACCCTATTGTTTCGTTCCCCTATCCCACCGATGTGAGATCTTACAAAATATCTCTCTAGTAGACGCATTTTAAAACTGTGAGGCTGACAATAATACGTAACGGCCCAAAGCGGACAATATCTGCTAATGATGTTAGGTTGTTACAAATAGTATCAAAGCCAAGTTACAGACGGTGTGCCAATGAGGACGTTGGAGCCCTAGGAGGTGGATTGTTAGGTCTTGCATCGGTTGGAGAGGGGAAATAAACGTTTCTTATGAACCTGTGGAAACCTTTCTCTAGCAGACACGTTTTAAACACAATGAAGTTGATGGGTACGTAACGGGTCAAAGCAGACAATATTTACTAATGTTGGACTTGGATTGTTACATGCCCTGACCTGAGTCCCCATATACCATCTTTTTTGCCCACAGCTCAAGAAGTTGGGAAAGGGCATCTCGAGTGCTGAGCCAATTTTTATACCTATTAGAGACCAAGTTATGTATATATAGCTCGAATTCGAGCCTCATGTACGCTCTTCTTTGCTCGCAACTCGAGAAGTTAGGGAAAGCACCCCGAGTGTTGGGTTAATTTCTATGCCAATCGGAGGTATGTGATGAGAATATTAAAACTAATTAAATTAAATTGTTTAGTCTTAGTTATTATTCAAATTTTAAGAGATTTTTAAAAATACAAAAATAAATTTAATTTGACATACTGGGTCAAAAATGGGTATATGTGCACAGTCATATTTTTATTTATTATATATATTTTTTACTTTTTCTTTTATATGTAGTTCTGTGATGGGTTACCGAAGGGAACGGTGAAGCCACGTCGTTGGGATCGTGGCGGTTCTGGAAACGCTAACCAATATGGACAGTGAACGGTACGGCTCCATGTAGAGGCTTACACGTGGGCAAATAATAAGCCGGGATCAGCATCGAGGTAATGACGTGGACAAAAAATAAGGCGGGTCTACCGTAATATTAAATGAAGCCTACCTTAGGGGATTTTTCATCAAACGGATACGGATCATAAATGGTTAAAAAAGACGGTGAATTATTGAAATTGGCTTTACCCTCTCTGTAATATCTCTTGTTAAAAATAAAAATAAAAACAAAAATATGGGAAAATTTCACAAAACTCCAAAAAACTGCCTAAGATTGTTCAAGAACAGTATCATGAGAGTACTTTTGGCAACTGATCCAGCTATGAAAGCACCAAAAAAAAAAAAAAAAAGAAGAAGAAGAAGAAGAAGATTAAATCAATGAACGGAGACAGATCGGCACGGACCCGAATGTGAAAATGTCGGGTTGATCGTGTATATGTTGATAGGATGAGATACAACATGAGTGGCAGGAGGAACGGTAGTGAAAACGAGACAATTTTACCCTTGGTGGATCGATTTTCTATGAATCAAGTCTCTGGTTTCCTATTGTTGGATGATGAAAGTCCCACATCGGCTAATTTAGGGAATGATCATGGGTTTATAAGTGAGGAATACTAACTCCATTGGTATGAGGCCTTTTGGGAAAGCCCAAAGCAAAGCCACGAGAGCTTATGCTCAAAGTGGATAATATCGTACCATTGTGGAGAGTCGTGTTCGTCTAACATGCTATCAGAGCCATGCCCTAAACTTAGTCGTGCCAATAGATTGTGAGGTAAATCCTCAAATCCTCAAATATTGAACAAAGAACTCCTAAAGAAAAGGAGAAAGCTCAAAGTGGACAATATCATACCATTGTGGAGAGTCGTGTTCGTCTAACACCTATTTCATTCGTAAACATTCACGTGTGGCATTTTTTGTCATTTCATACATATTGATAACACGACCATCTAATACATCGATTTTAGGACAACAATTTTGTTAAGGGGTATTTTAGTCCTTTTCTAGATTTAAATTAATAATTAAATACATCAATGGGTCATTTTTCTATCAACAAAGACATTTTGCTATTTTTCAAAATTCACATTTAAATTTTGTTATTTGTCTTGTTATCCCCAAAACTAAAAGCAAATGACCGCACTGCCCCTCCCGTCTTCAAAGTTTTACAAACTCGACCGTATAGATGGGCTTATCTTACATGGGCCAAAATGGAAACTACATTATGGGCCGAAATACACAAAATCATGGCCCACAATCCCAAATTTAGGTTGGATTTTAATTATTTCCATTTTAGGTTAAATTACATATATGTCCCTTAGAATCCTATTTAATTCCAAAGCTTAAAATTTTATTTTTGTTTCTTTGTTCTTAAAAACAAAATTTAAAAATTAATTAAATAAAATTATTATTTCCAAACAATAAAAATAAATTTATTGATTTATTTAGAACAATAAATTAAAAATAAACTTTTGGATAAATAAACCAATTAAAATAAAAATGGTCGGAAAGAAAATTCTAGTATCTGTCGAAGGGAAGAGGCATTAAAAAAAACAATATTTAATTTCCATAAATAAAAGGCAGAATATAAATAAATAATTTTATAATTTCGAAGGCGGGAATATTGACTAAAATAATACCAAAATTCTGAAAATGGAAAGGCCAGTGGGTGTAATAAAGAGCTGTATATTCTTATTTCCAACGTGACAGAATTTTCTTATCTTGATAAGATAAAATATACCCAGTAACTATATAATTAAATAATAATAATAACTAAGTAATGAGTGGGTTAATACTTTCAAGCAATATGGTTGTGCGGTTACCAATTTATGATGTGTGTATAAAATACCATATTATAAAATATAATATATGTTATTATTATATCATAATCATTCATTTGCTCATTATTAATATGGAATCAAGACTTTGGAGTACCTTTTAACCTTACACATTGCTACCAAATAATAATAATAATAATAATAATAAATTAAATTTAAAAAAAATTAAAAATTGGGAAAATTTTTGGACAAATTTCAGATGAATTAGTTGGTGACTGGAAATACTAATTCCGTTACAAATGTACTACTGATCTTTGTAATAATATTAAAAGTAAAGTAGAATTGGGTCGAGTTGAGTTTTGACTTTATGTTCGAGTTGGTTGGGTTGACTCAACTTAGAAAATGTCAATCCACGAATCAATCGATTTTTTTTTTATTTTTTCAAAAAGTCAACCCGACCCAAACAAAAAAAATCTAACCCAACCCAATTTTTACAGTTTGGGTTGAATAATCTGAGTTGGTCAGGTTGTCATGTCATATGAACTCTCGATATTTTAAAAAATTAGTATTTCATCGTACTTATATTAAACATTACATTTAAAAATAAAATATTTTTATGATTTAATTGCAATATTTGCAAAAGAAAATCACCAAATGAGCAAAAAAAAAAATGTATTATTCCAATCGTTCATACCCATCAAGACACGTGGACATATCACACTATTATCACGCACGTGGGAAAAATTACAGAGAGTAGGCTGCACGTGGAGATGTTTGTCATTTAATTTATTTAGCTATTAATAATAATACTAAACTAACGATAAAAATCCATGAAAGTCGTCTCGTTGTTGCCACGTGTCATCATCTGGATGAGTTTACTTTTTAGAAGATTCATCGAGTGGTGCGGGCAACGACCGCCATTGGGATTTTGCCGGCTAAGGAACAACTATTTTCACAGAGGAATTGGTCTACGATTATGGAGCTCGGCTCCGCCACGAGCGCCTCCCAAGCATGGTCGGAATATTCTCCACCATCGTGCTGTAAGAAGACTTCGGTGGCATCGATACGGTGGAGATTCCATCCCCATTTGCTTTGGAGGCGGTGGATTTTTTGCCGTTGTCGGAGCGCCAATTTTATTGAATTTTCTTTAATCTTCAAAATCGCCGCATTAAGAATCCGTGATCGGGCTTTGTCGTCGGTGGCCGAATCCATCTCGGCGTGTAGAAACGCGTCGAGTTCAGGCACTCCAATGGCGCGTCGAATCCCACGAGTGTAATCATTTTCTTTTGGGTCAAACAAATTCCGTACTTCGTTGACTAACCCATTGTCCAACATTCGATCGACACGGTCTGACACGAATGAGTGGAGAACCGGTAACGACACATCGACCCATAGGAAGCAACAATCGTATCGGTAACGAAACTCCGCCTCGTCGTCAACAAGAGATTCGATGAAGGAGTTGGAGCCACCGGCGACAATGGGGAGGCGGTGTTTTCCGACGATGGAGTTGATAGCCAACGAGGCATGGCGGCGGAAGTCCGTGGCGGTGAAGTTCGAGTTTGGATCAGCGATTCCAAGGAGGTGATGTGGGACCCCACAACATTCTTTCTCAGTGACCTTATTGGTGAGGATTTCAAGTCCTTTGTAGATTTGGATCTTGTCAGAGTTTATAATCTCAGCTGGGAAACGGTTGGCTAACTCAATTGCCAATCGGGATTTTCCGGTGCCGGTCGCTCCCATTACAAACACTAATTTGTCTTTTTGCCGGAAAAATGGCTTCAAATTGAGTATGTTTGTGCCTTGTAAGTTCACTAGCGGTGGCTCCGCCGCAACTTGCTTGCAACTCGCCGACAAGGAAAATTTCATTCTCTCTCCGACCAATTCTACAAAAATTTACCATTAAATTAATTAATTTTATATAAAATTAAAATTTTCAGTAATTTATATATTAGTTATCTCGTGAATTTAATAAATGACATGGTAAATAATGTCATTCAGTAAAATGTTACCGAAACAAATATGAAGATTCAATAGTTGCGAAGAATTAAAGCTTACCTTCTTAAGAGCGTCGGGAGGTTGATAGAGAGAGGTGTAAAAAGACCCTGGTTCGAGTCTCGTAACAAAAAACCGAAGCCCTAAGCTCTAAAACAATCTCTAGGACGTAAATTTTCAAAACTTTTTTTCTCTCTTTGCTGAGTCTATGATCAATCCATCATATAACGATAAGATTAGCATGGGGTATTTATGCCCGTGAAGAATGCCTAAACTTCACTTTCCATCATTTTTTAATTCAAATTTCCTTTATTCCAATGATTATACTAATAATAATTTTGTTAAAAAAAAAAACTTTAATTGTCATTTATTTTGGAAATTTTTATTTAATCAATGAATTTTAAAATTTTGTTATTTACTGTCAATTTATTTCAAAAATTTAATCTAAAAATTATTATTTTATTAATATATTTGGAAGCCAACGTTACATCCGTACATCACAATAATTAAATATTTTTTTTATGATTAATTAACTTTTTGTTTACAAATTTTTATTAAAAATTAAAAAAAAAAGGACCAAAATAAAAGTCTAAAAAGTTTCACTACTCGTCCGTACACAAACGTATGGTCAAATCAAGTGTAGAAATTATTCCAACAATATTAATAAAAAAATTAAAAGAAACTTTTATTCTAAAAAAATTAATATAATTTAAATAATATTTTTGAAAAATGAAAATTAAATTAAATTAAAGAAGCACCCACAAAATGTAGTGGGAAGCTTAGTGGGTACAGAAAAAACTTTTGTTTTAGATACCTAAATTTATATATATATGGCGAATAAATAGTTTAAACTTTTACCATTTAAACTAACAATTTATAATTTTTTTTAGAAAAAAAAATAATTTTTTAATTTTATTTTCGGATATATGTAAAATATTTAAGAGAAAAATGATATTCGAGCTATTTTTTAAAATATATATAATAAAAATGAATTAAATAAGAAAAAAAAATTTACTTAGTGTTTAACAATATAAAATAATTAGTAATATCATTAAAAATGAATTTAATAATTATTTAAAATGAATTTAATAGTTATTTCAAATCCATCTTTTTATAACAAATCTACGTTTATAAATAAATAAATAAAAGGAAAGTTTCTTTTTTCACTTTTCTAATTTGGGAGTGAAAATAAAAATATTTTATTTTATTTTGGTGCACCAACGAAAATGGTATTTTTTTATTATAAATAATTGAAAATTTATTTATTTTATAGAGAATAAATAATTAAATGAACATAAAATTGGAGAGAATATGAAAAAAAAATTAAAATCCCTTTTTAAGTATAAGAATCTAAAGATAATGTAAATAATTTAATTTTTTTTGCCATATATATAAATATAATATTTTATATTAATATATACTTTTGATTTTGACTGAAAATATTGGATAGTTGGATGAATATTCTATAAAATGGAAGACAACTTGAGAATAATCTTATCGCTCTAATTTCATTATTATTATTATTTTGGAAAAAATAAAGATTTTAAGTTAAAATTATATTTATTTGTTAAATAGCACTTTCGAAAAAAAAATGTTAAATTAATATGAACTCGAAGTAACAATTTCAGTCGGGTTATATTTATATGGTTAACTTTTGAGTTAGTTGGGTTGGTGACTCAAGTACCTCGATAGAGTTTACAACCCAACCCAACCCTCTATTTTCGGGTCGGGTTGCGTGGGTTGTATTTTTGTTTAATTATTTCAATTGCTTTAGCGGGAGCTGTACTTGGTATTGAAAACATGTCTATTTTTTGTTTCAATTTCTTTCGAGACCTGAAGATTCAAAGGCTTTCGCTCTTTCTTCTGACCGTCAATCTTTTCTTTTTCGGAGAATCGAGCAAGAACGAGAAATAGACGATGCACCATACTTGCTGCTCCTAAACGTGTCAGTAAAGCAATTCCATTGCCTTAACTTTGGTTATTTACCTTCAGACAAGGAGCAATGTAGTGTAATTCATAATACTGGTTGACTTAATAATTAAAATTTTATAAAATTTAAATATCAAACATAAACATTTACAGTAGAGTTACACAAATATTCTTAAATTTAATAATAATATTAAAAGTAGGGCTCGGTTAGGTTGTAACCCTATTTTTTGGTTGGTTCGTTTACTCGACCAATAAAATATCAACTCGATTTCACCCAAATTTTAGATTTTTAAAAAATTCTCAACCAAATTTTAGATTTTTAAATCTCAAACTAACCTTTATGATTTAGGTCAGATAGTCTAGGTGGGTCGGATTCTTAGGTCATATGAACACCCCTAATAACAAAAACGACAACGTTGAGGGTTTTTTCCGACACATTTCTTTGTTTTTTTTTTTTTAAGATGATGCACGGAAACAAACATTTATAAGTATTTAAAAAATGATTGAATAAATATTGCTGGGCCGGGCTTTTTACGAACTAATGGGCCGAGAGGCATTTTATTCAGATGTTACTTTGGGCTTTGGTTTGTGGCCCATTGTGGTCCACATCAACCGGCCCAAAAACAACGTAACTAAGCAATTTAGAAAAGAAAAGGATTAAGGTCCCAAATCTCATGCCAAAACTGGAGATCAAAGTGGAAGCTTATTCCCTGTAATCTTCGTTGAGATTACAGAGGAATTTACAGAGACAGAGAGTAGGTAATTGTTGTTATTGTGTTTGCCATTGATGGGTGGAGATTGAGATTTGAAATTGAGATTGAGAATCTGGCTAGCCATTTCATTTTTGTTGGCAAATTCTAGCCAAGAAATCTGGCGAACCTTGGAGGATTGAGGGCTCGGTTGTCATTGAAGCATTCCGTTTCTGATCACAACGACGAGGAGGAGGAGTGCCGGCCTTGGCGTCGCAGGCTTTTTATGGCTTTCACATGGCGCTCCGCCCTCAAGATTACCTTCTTACTTATACTTGTTGCTGCTGCAGTGATTGCTTGTTTCACCCTCCCAATAGAGAAGGTATGAAATTCTTGTTTCCAAAAATTCTCACTACTGCATTCTTGTTCCTCCCTGATGATCTACTGCGCATTGATTTCTCTTAATTTTCCATGATCCTGGATGTTTTTTTTGATGTCGCACATCCATTTTTATTTCCATCTGTTATTGAATTGTGTTTGAGTTTAACATTTGAGGTCTGGAATATCTGATCAAATCAATACTGCTATTGTTTTACGTATTTGTGTTTCAACGTTATAGTGTGTTTAGTTCGTGAAACTGATGAACTACTTGAAGTCTATTTGTTGGCTTTCGAGGCTGGAAGATTTATGACGAATTACTCGTTTCTGATATTTAATTTAATGTCATATGATTTGTATCGAATCGACCACATATTTGAAAACTTAACGCCGTTGCAGATTCTGAAGGACTTTTTACTATGGGTTGATCAAGATCTTGGCGCTTGGGGTCCGCTTGTGCTGTAAGTCGGTGTAGCTTAGTCCCTTGCAGAATCACTCAAGTTGCTTTTAAATTGTCTGTTCCATCGCTTTCCCTGTCTCTTACTTTTGGGGGTATATTGTTAGGTCTCTTGCATACATTCCTTTGACAGTGCTGGCAGTTCCTGCTTCAATACTTACGGTAAGCATCAACTGATCCTTCTTATACCTGGAAAATATATAACGTGCAAGGAAGAAGGCCACTGAAATTATCTTATTTATATGACCTTAGATGATGGTATGCCTTGTCTGTCTTTCAGCTTGGTGGTGGTTATCTATTTGGGTTACCTGTGGGCTTTGTTGCTGATTCCATTGGTGCAACTGTTGGGGCCGGGGCAGCTTTCCTTCTTGGACGAACTGTACTATTTGGACCCTTATGATTATCTTTTATCCATATCGATTTCGTGAATTTTAGTATTGCAATATTGAATTCTTGTTGGGCAAGTTTATTATTTCGTTTGTATTTTTTAATTGCGCAACTATTAGACACAGATATGCTGCTAGTTGGATCATCTTTTTTCTGGCACTCCTTACAGATTGGGAAGTCATTTGTTGTTTCCAAGCTGAAGGATTATCCGCAATTTCATTCGGTTGCAATTGCTATTAATCGGTCTGGATTTAAGGTTCGTCTATTTTGTTTACAATCACCGTATTTGTTTGTAAAATGACGTTTGCATGAGCATATGGATTCGTATTCTTTCTTATCTTTTATTTAATCTTTAAAATCACATGTTTCTTCCTATAAAAAAAAAAAAAAAATACTATCACTTGTTTCTTCTGTTTCAATGGAAAAGAAATAAAAACTTGTATGTGTGGCTTTTAGTTTATTTTCTTCTTTATTTAATGTGAATGAACAGCATTGGCTGTTTCTTGAATATCAATTCTTGTTTATGTCATACTTTTTATTGCACTAAAATTGCCTTGTATAAGTGTAAAACTTGTAATGAACGCTAGTTTTTCCCCCTTCCCTGTGAATATCATGTATCTATGGAAAAATGTTTCTCCCCTTGCACAACGTGACGAGGGAAGTATACTGATGAGTTGTAGATGTAACCATAGTTTAAATTTTGAAATGCATTCCCAGAGAAAAGAGATGATTCCAGTACATTTATATTGCTAAACTTAAACATACGATTCCAATTAATTGTGAGTAGGCAGTTGGGTGTTTTCCAATGAGTGGAAGTTGATGTAGAATGTTTGGTCAGTTAAACTGTTTCTTGGTAACTGGCCGAAAAGTTAATTTGCATTTTAGTACCTATGAAAAAGCCGACTGATATGAAATCATTATTTTTCTTTCATTAGAATGGCTTCTCTGGTATTTTTATTTGAAATAATGTGTATATATCTCACTTGGAAACAGTGAGGAATAGGCTACACATGCCGTGACCCAAAGTTTCACTTTTGCAGATAGTATTGCTGCTCCGGCTTGTCCCTTTACTTCCATTTAACATGTTGAATTACCTATTGTCCGTGACTCCTGTTTCACTAGGGGAATACATGTTGGCTTCATGGTTGGGAATGATGGTACCTTCTTCTCATGTTCTTATAAAATTGATACATGCCTTGTGTATTTCATATCACAATTTTGGCATAATTTGTTTGTTGATCAAAGTATTTTATCTGGACAAGCACAAACTATTGGTGATTTCTGTTGCATTTGTATGGTCACGTCTCATTTAAAAAATTATTAAATTTCTGTCTCCAAATTTTAGTTGTCTGTCCATCTGTTGTGCATGGACAGAGTTTTTTATTGCAAAGAGTGATAACTTTTATCTTCATTGGTTTTTCTGTCATGATTTGTTAAATCCATGAATATTGTAGTTGCCGACCCTTTGGCTCTTGTTAGTTCATGTTGATAAGTACATTAATTATGAAGACAAATATCATATAGGATTCTGGAGGTAGTTTAAGAGGACTGAAGAGGAAGTCTGTTAGGAAGAAAAATGGCTAGGTGCCAAGTACAATTCAGTTAGCCTTTTGAGAGGACTAGCTCTCTCCTACCCAAAGCTAGCCCACTCTTAGCTTGCCTCACACTGGCCACAATTTTGGTATAATTACTCCTCCCAGTCATTACTAAATGCTATTCTCATTCCCTGATATAATATCACAAGGCCTGTTTGTTCTTCTAGATTGACACCTTGCTCGCCCAATATCCATATTCCGTGTTTTAATCTTCTTGGATAATTATATAGTATCGAGGAGGGACCTAGCATAATGTTTATCAATGTATAGTTATTGTTGAATGCTACAAAATCCTCGTAGACACTGTTCTTCATCCAGATGAAAGGTGGAAATTTTTCAAATTAGCTATTCTTCGTTGTATTTCTTTTCTTCTGCATTTGGGCTTGATTCAGCGTCTCCATGCTAGAATCAAGGAATCATGACTTTTATTTTTAAATGTGGAGATTTATCAACTTTAGGTACTAATTTTAATTACAAATTTGATCTTTCAATGTCCTGTTGCAGCCCATCACCCTTGCACTAGTGTATGTTGGAACCACACTCAAAGATCTTTCTGATGTTACGCATGGTTGGGGAGAATTGTCGAAGACTCGTTTGGTAAGTGCTCTTTATCTACTACATTGGTGAGGGATAGTAACATCTCTTTTTTGGTTGTTGAGTATCAGGATCCTAATGACACGTTTCATAGTAGACAGCCCAAATGTAACACTAATCTCATGAACCATCAACATTCATTGATCAAAAATATGTTGCGGAAGTACCCTGGTGCTTGAATAGCTTCCACACTACAGATACCTTTTGTTCTTTTTTGCCTGATGGCTATTCTTTCCTTTATTGTGGATGCAGGCATTCATTATATTGGGTCTTGTGGTATCTGGTAAGTTAATATTATTTGCAGAAACTTGCATCTTTTTTGGGTTTCATTGTCTTGTTTGTTTTCAGCTGGCGACTTTTTAAGTAGATCAAAAGTGGATAATAATTCTAAGGAAGGCATGAGACACAAAAAAAAAAAAAAAAAAAAAAAAAAAAAAAAAAAAAAAAAAAAAAA